GTCCGCTAGTCAACGAACGTCGACGGCGGCGAGGGAGTATGAATTTGTGGTAGTAGTAACTAGCTACTATGAAAAAAAAACGAGCACCAAGAACAATCTCTTCCAAAAGGGTGAGAATTAGTAATTTGTCTCGCACGTTAGCCATCTACAAAGAGTGAAAAACATTCGGACTTCACCCCACAACTGGTAAATTACTATGATTTTCAAATGGTGTAAATTAGAGTGAGACACGAGCACTCAAAATGCATTGATGACAACTTAGGACTTAAATGACACAAAAAAGTGCAAAAAGCCATAAGCAATACAAGAACATAATAGTAATATATGAAATAAGGGCACTGTACCTAAAGAAAAGTTTATGTAGAAGAAGCAACGGGGACTGGATGCTTTCCGCGTCGAATGTTGACTGAACCTTACAAGAAATTGACTTTAATGTTAGTAAAACTTATTTGTTTGGTTTCTTTATTAAAGCATGCATATGCATGTATACGCATATAAACACACAAACACATTACAAACATAAGAAATATCCCTAGTATCGTACAGGTTGAAAATCATAAAGAATTATGAGCACGTCCTACACCCGCCACTTACTATATCAGATTAATGAACAAGAAGCTTACACAGTTTAAATAGTAAATACTCATATTGGTAATGGAATTTCACACCAAAAACTACCAAAGTGCAATGATGCAAATATTGAACAAGCTGAAAATCATATGAACTCACTTGGCCATATTATTATAAATATGAATTTGAGATAATTTGTAAGAAACTCATATAGTTCTCATAATAAATATATGTGCAATTAAATACCAATAAGGGTAACCAATAAACACACAAACACATTACAAACACATTACAGAAACAGGAAAATATATGTGCATGTGCAATGTAATACCAATAAGAATATCTCACAAGCTGAAAATAAGTAATATATGCTTGTGTATGCATATAAACACACAAACACATTACAAACACAGTCTCTATCCATAATATTCAACACCTGCCAATTACTATATCAGATTAAAGAACAAAATGATACATAGTTTAAATAGTAAATACACATACCCCTGTTGGAAGGTCACAACAGAAACAGCCAAAGTGCAATGATGCAAATATTAATGAAGCTGAAAATCATATCAACTCACTTGGCCCTATTATTATTAAACTGAAGTTGAGATCATTTATTAAAAACTCATAGAGGGAATTTAGGGTTTAAGAATCTGGTTGCTTTTAATGGATCCCTCATTGCTAAACAGCTTTGGAGAATCATTACCCAACCAAACCTCTTGTTAAGCAAAGTTCTTAAGGGTAGGTATTTTTTTTGAGGTGAGGAAAAAGAATAATGACTCTTGGCTTTGGAGTAGTCTGTGAGAGAGAAATTTAAGAAGGGAGTGAGATATCAAATAGGAGATGGGACTTCATTGTCTATATTAGATTCTCCTTGGGTGACCTGCCTTCTTTTAAACCTTTTTGTGTTTGTTAGAGTGACAGGTCTAGCTTACTAAAGTGAGTGATTTATTGTTAGATAGTGGTAGAGGGTGGCATAGAGAGCTAATAGCACAAACTTTCTCTCCTTTTGAAGCTGCTGAAATCCTCAAAATTCAGCTTAGCCTCTTTAGGAGGAAAGATAGATTAGTGTTGTGTTTGGAAAAAAAAGGGTAACTTCACTGTAAAATCTGCTTATGCAAATTTCAAAGTTATTGGCATAGGTAATGCAGAGACAACCAGTTCCAGTAATGGAAATTTTTAAGCCAAATTGATGTTGAGACAGACCTGGAAACTGAATATCCAGCCCAAGATTAAAAACTTCATGTGGAGGCTCATCAATGGTGTTCTGAGTATTATGCAACAACTACTGAGAAAGAGAGGTGCTGAGAATACAATTTGTAAGCTTTGTGGAGAGGAACCAGAGAGTATAAACCATCTTTTTGTTCAGTGCCCAATGAGTTCAAAAAATAGAATTTCAACTTCTTGAACTGGAAGTAGGACATAGAATTTCAAAAAATAGAATTGTGTGTCAGCATGAGGACTCATAGGAAGTAGGACATAGTGGCAGTGTCTGTGTGCTTACTTTGGAGGATTTGAAAGGCTAAGAACAACACAGTCTTCAGAGGAGATAGCTTTCAAGAAGAAGAAGTGGTAGCTGGGGCTAAGAGTGATTGGCTGGAATTTGAGGGTCAGGACCTTATCAATTAGCAAACTGGTAATTCTCATCTGGTCATGGAGAATTTGAGAAGGTTTTTCTAATACTATGCCTGCCAGTAAGGATAATTTAATAGCCTGCCATCTATAAAAAACAAACAATTTCTGTGGATAATTTAATAGCACAGTACAAACACATTTTACTGTATCCCAGACAAGAAATAATCAACCACATTTAAATGTTATATGGACTATAGCAGAAGTTTTTATTTACAAGGGTGAATGAGCCCTTTTATGTCTTGTTCATGAAACCACATGGAACAATGCATTAAACATGTAAAATAATGTATGAAAATTGAAAGTTTTTCAGTATGCTAACAGACACCCATGGGTCCTGCACAATTAAACCAACAAAACATGGCATAAGACACCCATTTTTCTTTCTCCTTAATTAGGCCACAAGTTCAGTAGTGAGAGCAGAATGCATTTATCAACAGCACACCACGTATCTAACCAACACACATTGATTCATTTCATATGACTACTGAGTGCCTAAAATTAAAAATTTCAGCTCTGACACTCAAGCATAAACTCACCTATATCAACATAATAATATACTGCAGAAAATCATCTCATAAGGTCACACAATTTGAAATAATCTCAATTCTACTTTAGTTCCACAAAGTACAATCTATCACATGATGCTGAGTATAACATTATCTCAGGATGCTCTGGAAACAAACTTACATAACAATTCTATCAAAAGCACATAAAACAATACCGATTTGTCTATTCTTTTCTTGAAATTAAACATCACACTTTGAATGCCTTATGCCTTATGAACTGGAAGTAGCACATCTGGAGGACTAAGCCAATTAACAGCATAATAACCACCAAAAAAAAATTCAGCACCTCTCAACAAAGGCCACGGCTTAATTATGAACACATAACAGCAGACTCAACAATACAAAAAAAACTAAAGCAACCAACACAGTGGCGAGTTTTCTTTAATCAAGCTCAACCTTAAATGAACCTTAAACGAGTTCACCCAAGAACAACAAACAAAAAATGAACTTTGATTTAAAAAAAGAAAAATAAAAGAAATACAATGTAAGTGAAGTCGGCAAAGAGGAAAAATACACAAGTGAATGTAAAATAGATGGGTCCTGTAAAATACAGAAGTCGGCAAAGTCGACAATGCCGGAGTCGGCAAACCCGAAAAATACACAACTGAAGTCGGTGGGAATGTAAAATTCATTACCTACGCCGTCGACGCCAACAAAGCCTCCGTCAGATCCACGACAAACGACTGCTCCACCACCAAAATTTTGCGAAAAAAAAAAAAAAAAATTCAGAATCACTATCAAGTGAATCTGAAAATTAAGCATGAAATATGTCGATTTTTTAGTTTACCTGGCTTCCTGAGGGATCTTCTCAGAATTTCGACGTTCTACAAATGCACGCCGCGCAGCAACAACCTAGGGCAAAAGTCGATGTTTTGAGAGTTTATCTGGTGATCAGTCGTAAATTCTTGCAAACATAAGGGTACTAGCGTCACTTTGTGTTGATTTGTGAGGGCAAGATGGGCATAGAAAATGAGGGATTATTTAATCTTAGGGGGAGGGTGGGATTAATATTATCAGAAAGTGGAGGATACAAAAATGACACATGGGCGCCACGTGTGTGCTGTCCCATCCCAATCTGTTGAAGTAAATGAAGGATAGTGGGGGACTAGACTCCTTATCCTATCCTAACCCTCAAAGTAAACGAGGCCTTATTATATATATATATATATATATATATATATATATAGAAGAAAGATATTTTAATAATATATGAAAATATTTCCAACAAATATCTAGATTTTTTTTCCTAACTATAAAAACTTAAGTACATGTAGCATACAAAAAATATATAGATTAGTAAATTTGATTTTACGTGCACATATATGTGCATGTTATTAATTAGAATATTCCGTTCTTGGGCATATAGATTAGATAGAATTTAAAATTACATATTATTTTATCATGTTATTTCTTTTTTTCATGTTTTAAGTATAAAAAATTGTATCCATTTGTAGATCTGTCCAAAAAAATATTTCCGGCCCTAATTTTTTTCCAATCACAACAATATATGACGGAGACGAGGCCACCCTAGCATATTTGGACAAGTTTGATAGGCTCCGTATTTGATTATCCATGCATTTTTATTATTTTTATTTGATTTATGCTATTTCCTTAGTTAATAGTTATTTTGAGTAGGAAATAAATATCTTGCACTTGTTTCGCAAGATAAGGACTCTTTGTTTTATTTATACTGAATGAAACCGTGAGAAGAACTCACGTTGGAAATAAAAATTTATCTGTTCTTTGTGAGAGAGTATCTCAAATTTATCTGTTCGTCTTGGGAGAGTATCTCAAGAAGGCCCGATCGTATCACGTTGTACATCAGTTGGTATCCAGAGACCAGTCGACGATCCACGATGTCGCCGAAGAGAGGTAATGCCGGAAACGACAATTCTGCCGATGAACGATTCCAACGTGTGGATGATCGTTTTCAAGGAATCGACGACCGTTTTACCGAGATGTCTACGGGAATGGAGGAACTACGACTGGCTATGCGTACCTTGATTGAGGAGGTTCGTATGAACCGTGACGCCGGTGATCGGGGCACGCGCGGAGGGTTTCGAGGAGGCCGTGGTGGATGTGGCTATGGCGGGGCGCTCCGCTGGCATTCACCCGCGTCACGGACCGGCAATGCTGATGAGGAGGAGACGGTGATCATGGAAAACCCGTTCGCGCAGGAGGATCTCCGCAGACCACCAATTGACAAGGGTTTCGCTCCGGGCGATTATGGCGGGGATCGTGACCCGCGTGGTTTTGATGGGGGTGATCACAGACGGCGACCGCGGGGTTAGCAGCAAGGTGGCGCTTTCCAAGATGACGATGCTGGTGACCCGCGTTTTGAGGACTTCGGGTTTGTTGATGAAAACCCTAATCGCGGCGATTAGAGGGATTTCGGAGGCGAGCAGCAGCGGCGGGGAGGAGGGGGGGACAGACTATCGTGACGATTTCGACAGGGGATGGCCACCTCGACTTGACGGCAGGCGCCCGATAGAAGGGGGGAGATGTGTCACGTGGAGATTTCGGGTTTCATGTGGACATTCCAGAGTTTGCGGGTGGTGTCGATGGTTCGGATTTTCTGGATTGGTGGGCGGCGGTCAAGGAAGCCCTCACATTCAAGGATGTCCCGGAGGATCGACAAGTTGATTTGGTCATCACTCGATTTTGAGGTCGGGCGGCGACTTGGTGGATGCAACTAACAAGCGTGCGGCATCGTCAAGGGAAACCTAACTCGTCATGGGTAAAATTCCGTGAGTTGGTAGAACGTGAGTTTGTCCCTTGTAACTACGATTCTTTTGCTTATCAACAACTTCATAACTTGTGGCAAGGTGTTCGTTCCGTGGATGATTACACTAACGAATTTTATCGTTTGTTAACTCCGATTGAATTATTTGACACCCGGAGCCAGTTGGTGTCACGCTATATTAGCGGACTACGGGCACCCATTCGTAATACTTTAAATATTTTTCCGCTGGAGACGGTGTCCATTGCACAACAAAAAGCTGCTCTTGTCGAGCTTTAGCTGGGACAGCAGATGGGGCCCTCTTTTATTTCTTCATCACGTCAAAGCCATCAGTTGACTGGGAGTTTTCAGCAGGGCCGTTCACCTCAAGCAGCGGCCGCTAATGTGGGCCCGAGAGTTGCATCAGCCCGCCTTCTAACGGGCAGTGGACAATTTCAACGCGGCAGGACTTCCACGGGGCAGCAACCGACGGGGGGAAATTCACGGGGTGTTGCGGGCCTACGTTGCTTTGCTTGTGGAGAGGTCGGCCGCTGTCAAGCGGCGTGTCCGAGAGGGCCTGGTCCGAAAGCTTTGTTTACAGAGGACGTGGGCGAAACGGAGACGCTAGAGGGATTTGAGGACCAGCCTGTGTACGATACGGAGACGGCAGAGGTAGAGCAATACGTTCGTGGTGATGTTGGCATGGCCTTAGTCATCCATCGTACCTGTCGTACCTGTTTGACGCTGAAGGGATCGGGTGCAGAACTGGGGAAGCGACATCACCTTTTTGAGTCGACATGCACCGTGGGTAACAAAATTTGTCTTTTTATTAGTGATTCTGGTGCGTGTGAAAATATTATTTCGTAGGAAGTCGTCGACAAATTGCAACTGTCAAGTGTGCCTCATCCACAACCATACACGTTGGTGTGGATTCAGCGCGGGAGTGCGGTGACTGTTGATAGATGGGCACTGGACTCTCTTTCCATTGGACCAACTTACCGGGATCAGATATGGTGTGATATGGTCCCAATGGATGCTTGCCATTTATTGTTGGGACGGCCGTGGCAATATGATCGCGCTGCTACTCATGATGGCCGCCAAAACACTTATTCATTTCTTTTTGGGGGTGGTCAGAAAATTATTTTGCTGCCATCCTCGCCTCGCCCGGTACCACCACTGACCACCACGTCATCGGTTCTTTTCCTCTCGCAGTCAGCTTTTGCGGCGGCTATGGAGGACTCTCCTTTAGTGTTGTTAGTGGTGGGGTTAGATGCACCTAGCGAGCAGCCACCGCCGGTGGCCATTCGTCCCCTATTATCTCAGTTTGCTGATATGTTCCCGGATGAGCTCCCGGCGGGTTTCCGCACTTCGTGACATTCAGCATCACATTGATCTCGTGCCGGGGGTGTCTCTTCCGAATCGCCCTCACTATCGGATGTGCCCGATGGAACATGAGGAGTTGCGTAGATAGGTCGAGGAGCTTCTTTAGTGTGGGGCGGTACGTCGTAGTATGAGTCCTTGTGCAGTGCCCGCCCTATTGATCCCAAAGAAAGGACGATTCCTGGCGCATGTGTGTCGACAGTAGGGCCATCAACAAGATCACGGTTCGTTACCGCTTTCCGATCCCTCGGTTGGATGATTTGTTGGACCAGCTTTATGGTGCGACCATTTTCACCAAGCTCGATCTTCGTAGCGGTTATCATCAGGATCCGGCCAGGGGACGAGTGGAAGACAGCATTCAAGATTCGCGAGGGATTATTCGAGTGGATGGTGATGTCATTCGGTCTTTCCAATGCTCCGAGCACTTTTATGCGGGTGATGAACCAGGCTCTTCGGGATTTTATTAGCAAGAGTGTCGTCGTTTATTTCGACGATATTCTTATTTATAGTTGGACATTGGATGTGCATTTGCAGCATGTTCGTGAGGTACTCTTTGTTTTACCTGCTGAGTCTTTTTTCACTGCCCCTCGTAAATGTGTATTTTTGGTGGATTCTGTTTTATTTCTGGGTTTTGTCATATCGGCTGAAGGGATTCGTGTGGATGAGAATAAGGTTACGGCGATTCGGGATTGGCCGACTCCATCGTCCTTCACGGAGGCTCGCAGTTTTCACGGCCTAGCCTCTTTCTACCGCCGCTTTATTTCACATTTCAGCACTATTATGGCTCCGATTATTGATTGTCTGCATGGGAAGTCTTTTGTCTGGACCGCGGCGGTTGAGTCTGCATTCTCTTTGATCAAGGACAAGTTGACATCTACCCTTGTCCTCGTTTTGTCGGATTTCTCGCAACCGTTTGAGCTTTCCTGTGATGCTTCGAAAGTTGGTATTGGTGCTGTTCTCAGTCAAGGTGGTTGCCCTGTCTCATTTTTTAGCGAGAAATTATCTGGACCTCGGACTCAATACAGTACATATGATGTCGAGTTCTACGCCGTGGTTCGTGCAGTTCGTCATTGGCGCCATTATCTCTTTCATCGAGAATTTCTTATGTATACGGACCACGAGGCGTTAAGCCATTTGGCCTCCCAGGATAATATTTCAGCACGACATGCTTCCTGGACGGCCTTTTTGCAGCAGTTCACGTTTGTGCTCCGGCATCGTTCTGGAGCTTCGAATCGGGTGGCCGATGCTTTGAGTCGTCGGACTTTTTTGTTGACTGACATGCTCGTTTCGGTGGTGGGATTTGATGTGTTGCGGACGACTTATGCTGATGACTCTCTTTTTGGACCGATTGTGCAACGTCTTGCTTCCGGTCCTTTTGAGGATTACACTTTGACTGATGGGTTTTTATTTCGGAGGATTCGGTTGTGTATTCTGGATTGCAGCCTGCGGCAGAAGATGGTGGCGGACCTTCATGGCGCCGGTCACGTGGGACGTGACCGTTCGGGGGCTCTGGTTGGTCGATCCTATTTTTTGCCATCGTTGAGGCGGGATGTGGCCTGCTGTGTCTCTCGTTGTCGTGTTTGCCATGTCTCCAAAGGGGTTGCTTCCAACGCTGGCTTATATTGACCTTTGCCTATTCCTTCACAAACGTGGAGTGCGATTAGCATGGATTTTGTGCTTGGGTTACCTCGGACACAGCATGGTTTTAACTCCATTTATGTCGTTGTCGATCGGTTCTCGAAGATGGTGCAATTTATTCCATGCCAAGTGCACCACCGATGCGGTTCATGTGGCTCAGCTTTTCTTCAGGGAGGTTTATCGTTTGCATGGCCTTCTGTCATCGATTGTTTCGGATCGCGACACGCGGTTCCTGAGCCATTTCTGGCGTAGTCTGTGGCGTATGGCGAACACGCAATTCGATTTCAGTAGAGCCTACCACCCCCAGACAGATGGGCAGACTGAGGTTGTGAATCGATCCTTGTGTAATTTGTTGCATTGTTTGGTGGGTGATCATCTTCGCAGTTGGGATCAGCATTTGAGTCAGGCTGAGTTCGCGCACAACTTGGCCCTTAGTCGCGCGACCGCCTTTGCGCCTTTTGAGACGGTTTATGGTATCCGACCCCGAGGCCCGTCTGATTTATTGGCTCTGCCTTCTGTGGTTTGAGTGATCGTCGGGTAGCGGACCTTATTGGAGAGTTGCACGCTATTCACGAGAAGACTCGTGCTCACTTGGAGGCCACTACGGATGCGTATAAGAGGCAGGCGGATGCTCGGCGTTGGAACGTAGAGTTTGAAGTTGGTGATTTTGTTTGGGCGTTTTTTACTAAGGACCGCTTCACGGCCCATGAGTATAAGAAGCTCTCGGCCCGGAAGGTTGGTCCCGTTGAGGTAATCGAGAAAATCAATCCCAATACTTACCGTTTGCGTCTTCCTTCTCATATTTGTACGTCGGACGTTTTTAACGTCAAACACTTGGTGCTATTTTTTGGTGATAATTCGGACGACGAGGCCGGTTCGGATTCGCGGCCGAATCCTTCTCAACCGAGGGGGAATGATGGAGACGAGGCCGCTCTAGTATATTTGGACAAGTTTGATCGGCTCCATATTTGGTTATCTATGCATTTTTATTATTTTTATTTGATTTATGTCATTTCCTTAGTTAATAGTTATTTTGAGTAGGAAATAAATATCTTGCACTTGTTTCGCAAGATAAGGACTCTTTGTTTTATTTATATTGAATGAAACCGTGAGAAGAACTCATGTTGGAAATAAAAAATTATCTGTTCATTGTGAGAGAGTATCTCAAATTTATCTGTTCGTCTTGGGAGAGTATCTCAAGAAGGCCGGATCGTATCACGTTCTACATCAATATATAGTTGTAATAAAATATACTTAACATTGCATCGAAAATAGAACAATATAATTTCATCCATTGTTTGGTTTTTTCAATCTGATTTGAGATATTTTACTCTTTTTCTTTTGTTTTCGTGATAGACGTCATAAAATTATTATTTTTTGATTTTTATGTATTATTTTTTTACAATGTTTGAGATAAAGTTCATAAATATACATTTATTAAAATTGCTGGAAATGAAGAATAAATTGTGTTGTAGGAATCTTTACAAGAGTTAATTCTAAAGAATGCTAGCCGATTATTTTGTATTCAAATTCTAACACAATATAAGAAAATAAAATAATTTACTCTGGTGGAAGTTTTATATTTACATCATTAACTCTCATTTATATATTTATATATATATATATAAAGAGTATAATAATATTATGATTCATCTACATTGTTTTGTAGAGAATTTTTAAATTTGAAGTGACAACTTAACGTTTTTTCACATTATGTGGTACAAAATCCAGTTAGTTAGTTTAATTTTACATACATAATTCCATCACAATATTTCGATAATTAATGTGCCCTTAAGCCAGAATACATAATATGAAACTTTTAATTAAATCATTTTATTCTTAAGTAAAAAATCAAATATAATCCACCAAAAGAATTATTTATAATTATTTGTAAACTAAGAATACTGTACAGTAGAGGAATATTATATTTTAATGATGATTGTATCTGCCCTTATCGTCTTTCAGTGTATTTTGTTAACCAATATTCATATTTTCATTCAAAAATAACATAGTATAAATAAAAAAACATAAATAAAAGTATGACATTTAATTGTCTAAGTGCGCATTTTTTTCAAATTGTTTGATAGATGAACCCGCCCAACCGTTTGGCTACTTCACATAAGAATTTGTACTTATAATGTATAGGCAACTCGCATTTTATCCAAAACTATAAAATTCATATTGAAATGAGAGTTATTTAACTTGCTTGTGAATACATTATTCTTCACTAAAACTGTTTCATACATAATTATGATTTAAATAAATTTTATATTTAATTCTTAGTTTTATTTTTTGGAATTAATTATTTATAGTACTTTCTATCCTTTACTTTTTTATATTATATTCCAATTGGATATCCATATATTGTTTATAAAATGATCTAAGAACTATTTTATTTATGATCCTTTTATATATAATACATCAAACTCAATCTTTTGCAATGACGTTTGATTTGACACAGTGGCGACCTGGGCGACGGCCCAAGGCCCAATTCGAAGGGGCACAATTCAAAGGGCCCTTTGTTTTGCCCAATCAATAATGCAAATAAGTATGGCCTTTGAGATGGAGATGATTATGATACAATCCGGCCCAATATATGATTGGGCCAAATTATAGATATAATCCACCACGCGTGAAGTACAAAACTAATCCCGTTCGAAACAAAAATTCTAGAAAAGATACTGAATATGACGAATTCCAAAATTGCGTCAATTAGAAGTTACAATAATTCAAAATTCAAATTAGTAACTGATTTCTTTCTCTCTCTTTCTCTTCTCTCTCTTCCTTCTCGGACTTCGTTTTTTTTTTATCTTCTACTTCTTCAAATATTAATCCCTAAAAATAAAAAACAACAATAAAAAATATTAATCAATTGATTATATACATACAGAACAATAAAATTACATAAAAACAATAGAAATATTTGTTAAATTAAATTAACAACAATAGTAGCAATAATAAAGTAGAATACATACACACAAAATATAGTCATGCAAGAAGTCAAATAAAAAAAAAAAAAATTAATGTAACAACAAAACAATAACATAACAACAATCAAGCAACATGAAAACAACGGTCAATATAACATAAAAACTTAAAAACTTCAATGCAACAACAAAATAATAACATAACAACAATCAAGCAACATGAAAACTACTGTTACTATAACATAACAACAGTCAAACAAAATAAAAAAAAATAAAAAACAGTTACTGAATAATCAATATACAACAACACCATATTCGATGTTAACATACAGACTCCACACACACAAGACACTCAACTGGAAGAGTAAACATAATCCACAATAAATTACAATTTCACTCACTAAAATAATCAATGTAAACACCACAAAACGAATCTCACCACAAGAAAATAGAAAACCAAATTAATTCCCAAAAAAATTGTCTTCACCTGAACCACATCCTAATATTTAGTAGCACCACATCCACAGAAAAACTATTAATTTTTTGTTCATTTTGACAAAAATTCTCAAATCAACCGCCGTTTTCTCCCCAAATAATTAGTCATCTAAGCCGAAAAGCAAAGTAAAAGGACCCTAAATTTTTTATAAAGAAATCGAAAGAAGGATAAAAAAAAATGAAGATGAAATTCAGAGTGGGAGTTACCTGAATTTTTTTAGCTGCGAGAAGAGTCACCGTGATGCGAATCCTTCTCCTCCGAGGCTGTCGACGGCATGTGGGAAATATCACAGGAAAATCGACATCGATTTAGTCGCCATAAATTCGAACAACGAGGACTAGAGCGTCGCAAATTGCATCCTAATTTTCTGGGTGTAGTCGATATGAATTTTGGGCAGAAGATACAAAATAGACGGGACAAAAAAGAGATGAAATAAGAAAGAGAGAAAAGAGACAGGAAGAAGAGGAAATAAGAGAAAGAAGAACGAAAGATAAAAGGAAGAGAGAGGAAATAAGAGAGAGAAAAGATATGGAAAGAATCCTGATACTATAAGAGAGATAATTAATAAAGATGAAAAGAAAAAACCGTCACTTAATGAATAACTAATTTAAACCTAAACGTGTCCACAAAAGGAGTATAATTGGAAACAAAGAGCCTCATATTGTCTAAATAATATGTGGGGATATCAATGTAAAATGTTTAAATAAGTAGATAAGGGGTGTCATTAATTCATCCACCACTGTTTCCCAACGAAACCCAAGGCAACTAAATCAACAAAAATCCCGTTCAATGTAAAGCTGGATTTTTAGTTTATAGAAAAATGAGAATGGATTGACATTTCAAGTTCCTAATGCTCACCCAAACAATCAGTGGGTAGTCCCTTGCACATATGTCTACGATCAATATAATGTCGCATAAATATAGAGATACGTTTATGAATTAATACGACGAAGTATATTAAAAAATACATTCACAAAAAGAAAAAAAAAAATGACATAATAGCAGTTGATATGATATCACTCAAAGTGGTGATGAGAACATGGTCGATGAAAATAAATAAAGATCTTCACGATGCACGAATGGTATAAATCAAGAAGCAACATGAATATATTTTTCAATTTACTTGAATGTAAAACATTTTATGTTAAGCTACTCCTAAATCATGTCAGAGAACTAATATCGTCATAGATTTGAAAACTACAAATAAAGTATCTTGCACTTTTTTCAATGAAGTAATACAAAAAAGGTACTACCAAAGTCTGGCCAAAATATTTTTGAGATTTTGTATGAAGCAGTCACGTTGAAAATATGTCACATAAATTAAGAATAATATGTGTACTAATATTTGTGTATTGTACTCGAACATATGTGAAAATACTTTGAATAAAATACTTTCATGTGCCGTGTGAAGATTTTAGAAAAAAAATAAAAAAATCTAAATGCATTAAAAGAAGTACATTTTGTCACGACCATGAATAGCATTAACATTTACATAAAGTGTATGAGAAAAAGTATAAGTGGATACAATATTTCAAATGTATCTATATTTTAATAACACGAATGGTTATATTTACACATATGTTCAAAATGAATTATTGGTAAATGTACATTTTGAACTGAGGCAGAGAGAATGTTGATCGTTCAATAGTATAACACTTTCAACGGTCAAATTGTATAAAAAATGTTAAGTCGGTATATTCATTGTCCGCGAGTTAGGTGGAACTAGCAAAACAATATTATATCTTGCATTATTAGATCATTTTATATATATATATTAAAAAAAAAAAAAAAAAAAAAAAAANACATTTACAATAACATTGTCTATATCTATTGTTAGACTATGCTAAGCGGATGAACAATACATTTATGTGGCAAAGTACCAATTGATGTGAATGGTTATAGTAAAAGTAGTATGTCAAAAACATGTGGAGTTGCTAAGTTACTGGGTGAGGCATAATTAATAATATGGTATGAATCACCTTCTATATACAAACCATATCATATTTATATATTTATTTTTAAGTAATTAGATAATATAGTATGGTTCACTTATTGTATATAGAAAATTGACTCTACTATGGAGCCAACTGTTGACTTCACAGCAAAACAGCTATTTTACCTCTTCATAGCAAAACAGCTATTTTACCTTGCCATCTTAATGTATTATCCTAATCTCTTATATTTCAAACTCATCATGTTACTCTATTCACATTTGCCTTAGTAACTCATTTTATTATTCTTTCAATTTTTTTCCATTGACATTTAATAAACTAATTATTTTTCATACAAAATTAATCAGCAAAAGAATTAAACACCACGTGCAACGCACGTGCACTTTACTAGTGTAACAAAATAGCGAAAATTTGTTTCCATCATGAAATAATTTAAAAATTACACCCTCTCTATATTTCAATACTCCTCCAAATTAAAGAAAACATTAGAGCGACAACCGGATCCACGGTATTTAAATTTCTTTCATGCATTTTACTAACCCAACATATATTCAACCCCCAAATTCCGTCAATTTCGATATGCAACTCAGAGAACAGATCATTTTTTTGTAAAATTGGTCCAACTCTACTACATACACGATTCCAAACCCACTTTGCCCAAACAATGTAATTTGATGTGATGCAAAAGCATATCGAATGATGTTATAACTATGCTGCATTATGATACATGCAAATATTATTATATGACACACACCAAATGTCAAACGGGCCTAGAAAGGACCGAGTCACGATCGAACTCTCGCAAGTCGGGCCCTGATCTTTTCCATCTCTTCCTCCTCGTCGATATTCTCCTGTAATTTCAGAAAAACATTGTAAAACAAAATAAAATAAAATGAACAAAAAAAAGGGCAATGAGGTATGGCAGCAAAGATAGCAAACCTCGACATCTTCACTTGTGGCGGGCTGCTTTAGCTTCTCATTCCTAGAAGCTTCTGGAAGCTGGGCAGCAGTCTCGCCAGCTATAGCGGTCAGGACCTTCTCAATTTCTTCTTCAGTTTCCTCCTCAATGTCTTCTGAGTCGAGTGCATCGTCTACAGCGTCATTAACCATCTCTTCAATAACGCCAGCCTGTTAAATAAGGGGGGAATAACTAACTTTATATATATTGTTACAGTTTATATGCACAAATGAAAAAAACAAACATCACAAACACAAAAGTGGTAAGTAAATGACATTTTGAAAAACAAATTTAAGTTTCTTGTAGTAGGGATAACTGCAGGGTTTTTTTTAACTCACTCACTAAATTGTCCTATGTGAGCAAATGCACTTTGGATTTACTAAATGTATCAGGTCCCTAGCATTTTTTCCAGCAACTTTAGCCATACTTTATTCAACAACTCCATAAAAATCATCCATTGGGCTAGCAAAACTACTGTGTGGAAGTTCCAAAAGACCTACTTTATGTGCTAGGGAGGGGTCAAACCTGCTAAAAATAATCACCTACCCAAATAGAAGCGGATCCAGAAAATTTATTCAAGGGGCGTTGTCATTTTTATGTTGTCACACATGACACATCTTATAAAAAAAGACATTAAAGTTGCATTATAGAATAAATTAATAAATAGATAAAGTTGTACCAGAAAATATATATCTTCAAACCTCTGGTACCACTAGAATTGTGCTCTATGTTCTCTCACTATATTTAATATTTCTTCATATTTCTCTTTCAATAAGATACTCAAAGAATTTACAAGAAAGTCATCTTCAATTTTACATCAAACTTTGGATTTAACAATAATTTTAGCTAAACATGCACGCTATATGGTACACACTAGAAGAGTCAAAATCAATCACATTTCAAATTTAAGTAAGCCCTAGATTACCAAATATTTAGTATCGATAAAGGACTTGTAAAGATGTATCTTGAAATTGGAACTAGTTAGTATAGAAATTAATGCAATAAGGAGTAATATTAATGTCGTTGTTCAGTTACTGCATTTTTTTCTTTACACGTGTAAGACTCCTTTTGTTTTTGTTTTGATTCATCTATTTTTTATCATGTTAATTACGTGTAGTTGATATATTATATCATATATATACTTGGTTATGTCCGTCCACCACTGCACCCAAACACAAAAAGCTTTTTTTAACCAACCTTCACTTATACCAGATGCATTAGCTTAATGAGAATAACTTCACATTCATCCCACAAGTTGCAAATAACAGTATCATATGAGCGTAAAGTGCAAACATTACTGGTAGTAATAATCATGCTTTTCAACAACATAGAAGAAAACCTATTAAGGAAATGGATCATGACGCAGGGCCACCTATATATAATGTTCAGATTAAATAGTTTTTAGCCCTCATATCAAATTAAAGAGACATGAATAAATGATAACTCTGGATCACAAGTGAGCACGTAGTGAAGTTCTAAATATAGAGATCACAATCTATGAGGACATGAACTGAGCTTATAAGCTCTTGAAAACATTTATAAGATGTGTAGCTTATAGGATGTTCATGACTGTTGTTATTGCTTTTTTATGAAAATATCTCACTATAAGATACATCAATAGCTAATAAGTCATTTAGGAAAAAGTGGAACATCCCAGCTTTGTCATCAAAAGGTGCTATTTTTCACCTCCTATTATATTGATTATTTTCATCACAGAACTGCAATGTTCTAGCACTAGCAACATACACACTCTAAAGTATTATATTTCCTGAACATAATATCTTGCTATTTAAATTAATGTATTCTTAGGGCTGACGAGGGCTTTTTAATAAGCTTAGCCAAAGACCAACTTAACCCAACAGCAAGGGACAACTCAGACAAATATCAGCTTTCCCTAGTTCTTACAAAACCAAAAAATTACCTTAATCATTTCTTTACTAAATTCTTGCATGGTGACTGCCATTTGTGGAGCCTTCATAAGGTTATTGACAAGCTTCATGACTTCGGCACTTTTCGACAAATGTCCCACAGTTCGAGCAATAGCTGAAGAATCAAAACAAAAAATCATCCAACATAACAATTTAGCGGAAGGTTAACACTATGGAAAGTAGTAAAAAGGTCAGGAAGACAGGAAGAAAGAAACAGAATGCAAAAAATACAACACCAGAGAAGAGAAATGTCACCCTCTTCCAACTACAAAATTAAATAGCACGAGAAAAGTAATATCAAAATATTAAAAGAATCTTGCCTACACATCAAACATAAGCTCCATACTGAAAAGTTTGGAAGAAAATGAACATGTTCACTCAATTCACTTGAAAGACTTCACTTTGAAAAGTCTCACAGGTTTCCGTAATGCAAGCAGTGTACAAACAAACTCAGCAGCAAAAGGGCAGTAAAAAACTGTTCGGTTCCAAATTTAGGACAACTTGAAGTAATACAGACAGAACAAATTATAACTAATCGCACTTCAGGTATCAAAATAAGCAGATAACATACTATAAGGATCAAGTGGCTGGACCTATTTTTTAGAGTAATTATGTAAGCCAAATTATTCAGATGAGTGATTACACATAAATGAACTTGTAATACCAGTAGTTTTTGTGCTTCATCACTGTACTAGTAACAAGGTCATGTAACCAAAGTGCATCAGCTATGCACATTGTAATGGAAATAGTAACAAAATACACATATGTTCACCCATGCGATCATGTTGATCCTTGAGCACAAGTTTTCAATAACTTGAAATAAACAGAAGTTCAAAATGTTAATAGTATATAGGATCCATTTTCACAATCAGTGTTAGAAAAAATATTCAACCTAACCAAGAATAGAAATATTAACAAATTGAACGAAAAGTCAAATACCAACACTCTCTCCAAGATGCATTGCTACCGAATTTAACTGTGCTTTGTTTTCATAGAGTCGGTTCACTGTGTTCCTTGATCTCACGATTTCTTTTGCAAGTGCCTGTGATAAGAGATGTTACCATGAAGCATGTATTACACACATGAAATCAAACAAAACCTCTATGCTTTTTAGCTATCAAACTACCAATGTTTGGTGCAGGTAAAAAAAAAATGTCTTCTTTTATATAATTGATAAGTACATGAATTGATTAAATATACACACATCATGCTAATTCCTGTTCAAGATCATAGTTGTCACTCGACATATCTAATTTCCCAGATAACAAATCTAAAGCCTTCATTTTTTGAGTTTAAATATATTCATTAATACAGTTAATCAAGAAAAACACACACCAAAACCAGAAGCGATCATCTAAAAAAAGGTTCAGAAAGCAAAAGAAATAAAACTTAAGCACCTTCGCAGAACCCATATCATTCCTTTTAGCAGCTTCTTTGATTGCTTTCTGAACATTTTTCTCCTCTCTCTGTATATCTAACAAAACCCATCAACAACAGAAACCCGAAATCTTAGTTTAACACGTATAGATAAATAAACAATTGGGGAAAAAAACATAAATGCAATATGATGACATGTAAGAATATCTAAAGACCTCGGATTTGTCGTTCGATGTTCCGGCATTCTTGGCGGATCCGACGCTGCCAATCTCGTAGCAATTGCTGCGGGTTGGGTTTTGGCTTCAATACATTGATCACTTTTTCCATTTCTTTTGTTTTCCTTCTTCCCTTATTGTTTTCTCAATTTGGTTCCACAGTTTTTCCTATCAATTCTAGCAACAAGGAATTTCGATTTCTGCTTATGCAATCCTCTGTCGCGTTGCGAAGTTTGTTTAGTTTTGATCTTCGTATTTGATGAAATTATAGAGAATTGGAGAAAGGATATATATAATTGCAAATCTAGTCCCAAGGAATTGAATGACTGCAAAATTAGTCCCAATAAGTGCAATTTTCATGGTTCTGAAAACTGAACCGGACGTTGAATCGGTGAAGCTACTAGTTCAATGGTTTGCTGGTCGGACCAGCGGTCGAATCGGTCTAACCGATATTTAAATTTTTTATTTTTTATGTATAATATTTATATATTTTTATCATTAATTTTATAGTGTATGACATTATTCTAAATAATAACTCAATAATAGATACAACCGACAATATTGAATAATATTTTTTAACTTTTTATTTTATTTTATTTTTATATTTAAAATTTTAATTTATATTTAAGTTAGAAATTAGAGAGAAGAAACAACACAATTTTTATTTTAAATCACATTTTAAATTTTTTTTAGTATTGGTTAAAAAAATAAAAATAAAAATAATGTGCATAACAAACAACAATAAATTGTTTCTTTTTTCAAAAAAAAAATAAATAAATTGGGAATAGATATTAGCCCAACAGATAGTCCACTTAAAAGCTTCATCCAATGTTGTTAAGGTCCAAGGGTTGTTATTAATGAAGGCATTATACTAATCTTGCATTGCCTTTTTCCATTTTTTTGTCTTTTAAAGCTTCATCCAATGAAGTTGATTCCTTTTAAAGAACACCAGTCTAAAAGATCTTTGGTTTGAAATCATGTTTAGACCTTGTCCGCATAGGGTGTTGGTTTCTATTGGTTCCATAATCAATGTGAATTTCAATCTCTTGTTGATTGTGAATAAGTTGTAATTCCACTACCAAAGGTATAGTGGTGTTACACAGACTCCTGCTAGAGGAGCCTTGATCCTCACATTGAGACATCTACATGATAGAACTCATTTCCTCCATTGTCTTTCTCAGCAACAATTTCACCAAAGAATCTTTAAGTATTTACCTTAAAGAATCTCTCCAGTACATGTAAACTCATTGGACAAAGATTCAGAGAGTGTTGGCTATTTGACGTAGGGGAAGCATATGAGTGGGAAAAATAAACGAACGAGATACTCTCTCGATAAAACTCACAATCTCATTTTTCATTCAATAATCAACTAATGAAAATAAATTAGGGGGAGTGCTTTATAGAAGGCTCCTAACCGTAGACCTAACTTGTCCAACAAGACAAGAACTTTTATTAAATATTAAAATTCCTAACTTATTCTCCAAGATAATAATAATAATAATAATCTAATTATTCTGCATCATTCTCCTCCGGTTGAGCAGAATTAGCCCTCGAATCCGACCCGTTCCCGTGGGTGACGTTCGCAACACAGCAACAGCCCGAACATTTCCCCCGATCGAACACGAAGGTTGAAAGTCGTCCAACAATCTCGAAGGTAAACATAATCTCGGTCAAGGATTCAACTGCCGCAACGTCACATGTATACGACACCCGACGCAAAGCCCACACAACCGAATTAACACAAAACAGACCACATCGTTCACCGCGCATAAATCTATAACTACGGCCAAGCATCCCGGTGTTGGGAGACTTCGGGAACAACAATCAAAAAATGGCCCACCAGTTATGGAATCTCGGCTTCGGCTCCAAAAAACCATCTTTGGCCAAAATACTCAAAAAATCGGGTGTGAATGACGGTTGCCCATTCGAAGACTCAACCATTGCGACGTCCCACGCGGGACCCATATTACTGCAAAAATATGTCTTCGTCACCGGAGGCTCTTCATCAAAAATTGGCGGACCGTCGTAGATATCGCACATGTCGGGCTCAAAATTCAGGGAATCTATAAACTCGAAGTCAAAGCCTGTTTGTGGCTGTTCAGGCCCAAAATAAGGATTAAATTCATCCTTCCCCTGAGCCCAATAAATTGAATTGGGCGCAGGCCCAAAAACGACATCACCCTCACAAGCCCAAAAAATGCTTTTGTGAGGCCCAGAAGTGCAACTGGAGTCGTCTCTTTCACACGCCCAAAATCCGCCTCCATGTACGAAACTACCTCCAGCCCGCCGCTGCTCGCGAACTCGGGGCTGACCTGTGGTTTCGTCTCCTCGCCATGGTGGTCGATCTGCCAACTGGTTAGCCGACCAGGTAAAGTCACCATCCTTGATGTCGTTCAGAGGTGGCGGGGATCGCTGCCGGGGCGCCCCGACATGGCTGCGTCCCCCACAACCGCCTCTGTCTCCCCCGCGAAAGCCACGGCCCACAGCCCCATCGCGGTTCGTCTGCAATTCCGAAACAATCACGTTGTTAAGCGTCAAATGCACATCCTCGATCCTCGTCGAAAGATTGGCAAACCAATCCGTGAAACGCACGTCCAATTGTTCAAATCGGTAGTCGATCTGTTGAAACCGATCGTTGAAGGTTGCGTCACGTCGTTCGTCTGCGGCATCTTCTCGTCCCGGCGACATCGCGAATCGTACTGACTGCTGATACCAACTGACGTAGGGGAAGCATATGAGTGGGAAAAATAAACGAACGAGATACTCTCTCGATAAAACTCACAATCTCATTTTTCATTCAATAATCAACTAATGAAAATAAATTAGGGGGAGTCCTTTATATAAGGCTCCTAACCGTAGACCTAACTTGTCCAACAAGACAAGAACTTTTATTAAATATTAAAATTCCTAACTTATTCTCTAAGATAATAATAATAATAATAATAATAATAATAATAATAATAATAATCTAATTATTCTGCATCACTATTGTTTTCTGGCTTAACCTGATAAGGGAACACCTGATAAGGGAACACATTGTACATCAAAGATCATGTTTCTAGCCACTATAACCTTTCTGGATGGCAACATTACCTTAAAGCCTTCATAATATGGACTATACCCTAAGAAAACACTAGAAGAAAATTTGAATTCAGGCTTGTGCTTATTGAGATAGCTTGTGTGAGGGAAGCATAAACACCCAAATACTTTGATCCATGAATAACTAGGCTTTCTTCCATACAAGACTTCAAAAGTGAGGTGTAAGAAAGTTCTTTTGTTGGTATTCTATTTATAATGTAACTTGTTGTGGTAAAAGCATCATCCCAAAACCTTGCAGTAAGCTTAGAGTGATGTAATAAGACTAATCTCATTTCAGTTAGCTGCCTATGTATTCTTTCATCAACTCTATTTTGTTGAGTGTATGGACAAGAGATTATGTGCTCAATTCCACTATCTAGGAATACTTAGCTAAGAATTTTATACTAATCAAATTCTGGAAGTGTATAAAACCCTCATGGACTTCAATTTTGTTTCAAAGAAGATAAAGCCAACTATATATGAAATGGATTAACACCACATAATAAGTCTACCCCTTTAATGATCTAACTAGGGTTGCTCCCACAAACAGTCATTTTAATATATAATAATATGAGTCCTACTTATATATAATTAGACAAGTCCATTCATATTAAGCAAGTAATATTAGTTTTTTAGTAGTTTTTATTTTTAGATAATGGTACTTACAATGTTACCATTAAAATGAGATCAAACACTAGGACTTTTAATCCGTAAATATTTTACAAAACTACTCCTTTTATGTAGCCAAGGTTTTAAAAGGCGCTAAACGCTTGTTAGGCGGCGAGCTAGGGCCTAGCTGGGATTGATTATCGAGACCTAAGCGGGGTCATAAAATACTAATAAAATTATTTATATTTAAAATTATGCATAACTTACAAACTATATTTTATAAATTATACTAACTAGTAAGTTTAAATACAATTTTTTTAAAAATATTATATACTTATAATTATTATATTAGTTTAATATAATTATTATTATTTTATTTTATAATTATGGTACATTTGATGTATAAAAATCAAAATATGTTTTTGATTTGTTTTGTAGAAAAAAAAAAACTATACAAGCGCCTAGGTGACACCTAGACCGCCTATTGGCAACCGCCTAGACAGCTTAAGCGCTATCTAGGCCCCACCTAATTGCCCTAGCGCCCAAGTGGCGCCTAGCACAATTTTTAGTACAATAGTATAGAGTATGGACAGCGGTTTTTCTATGGAGCCATCGGATGGCTCGGTTTATGGAGCCATCCATAGTTTTCCACAAATGGTATATTGACACGTGTCCTGCAATAAATACACATTGAACACGTGTCAATACATAAAGGTATGAATGGTTCCATAAGGAAACCATCCGATGGCTCCATAGACTTTCTGGTATAGACAAATAGAGTATAGATAAATAGATAGACAGATGAATAAATATCAGGTGAGCCAAACCCACCTCTCGAGACAAGTTGTCTACCAATTTCTAGGCCACCCAACACGTCCGAGACAAGTTTTGATGCAATTTATTAGCCAGCCCAGCCAAACCCTCACTGCTACCGTTAGTTAAAGGCTTGGGAATGAAGTAAGGAATTTACACTAATAATTTCAATTCTCATCACAACCTTTAACCATTGATAGCCGAGGGTCCAATCAAAACTTAAGTTACATATATGGACATTCTTTGCACCAAATTAAAAAGATGGAGCATAAAATAAAATTTAAGATCAATGTAGCCTAGTAACAAAAATATGGATAACACAACTGGGATTCAGAAAGTAAACAGCATGAAATGGAGAAGAGATACAAATATCCAACAGCATTTTTTAGTTCCCGCAATATTAAAACATGAATCCTAAACCCTACAACAAGTCTCACTTCCCATAAAGCTTCTTAAAACTCAGTTTCATTACTCAACACAATAATCTCGAAAGATCATTACTGATGAACTTCTGCTTTCTTCTTTTGCCAGAGCCTATCAATGGCGCTGTCTGCATCACCCTGCAAAAAGGAAAGGACAACAGATAATTTTTAAAGCTCAATTAAAGCATAATATCAACGAGATATATTTAAACATAGTGTTGCATTTCAAGGTAGCCAAGGTTCCAGCTTAATTTCGATGACCAAACTAATAAAAGTGGACTTCTCTCAAAGCTAATTTTGTTGGTCTATCTCACATCTGCATGCACAAGAACCTTTTTTTTTTTTAGTCACCTTTTAGTGGGTT